GGTGTACAAAATAGTGATTCACAATTTTTAAAGGTTATACTCCATTTATAGTTATTATAGAACATTGACTGTATCCTCAGTGTTGTACCGTATACCCTTGTAGCTTATTTTATATCTAATAGTTTGTACCTCTTAGTTCCCCACCCCTATATTACCCCTTCGCCCTCCTCACTGATAACCACTAGTTTGCCCTCTATATCTGTGAGTCTGCTTCTTTTTTGTTACATTCACTAGTTTGTTGTATTTTTTAGATTCCACATGTAAGTGATAGCCATACAGCATTTGTCTTTCTCTGACTTATGTCACTTAGCATAATGCCCTCCAAGTTCATCCATGTTGCTGCCAATGACAAATTTTCATTTTTTTTTATGGCTGAATAGTATTCCATTGTATATATGTACCACATCTTCTTTGTCCATTTATCTCTTGATGGACCCTTAGGTTGCTTTTGTATCTTGGCTATTGTAAATAATAGTTCAGTGAACATTGGGGTGCATGGATCTTTTCGAATTAATGTTTTTGTTTTCTTTGGATAAATGCCCAGGAGTGGGATTGCTGGATCATATGGTAGCTCTGTTTTTAGTTTTCTGAGAAACTTCCGTACTGTTTTCTATCGTGGCTGCACCAATTTACACTCCCACCAGCAGTGCAGGAGGGTTCCTCTTTCTCCACCCAGGACTCTCTTCTTGTTGACAGTCATCGAAGTGGGAAGTGATGACTGTGTATGTGCCTGTTTGCTGAACACTTGTCTCTAGGCACTGAAGGCCTAATGCCTAACGTGGTGTGTGGCACATAGTATGTGCCCTGATGTCGTCACCCTGAGAACTGAGAAGCCCTGGAAAGTGGGCTATTTGGGGGCCCAGATTTGCCATTCAGTGGGTTGAAGAGTTTCATTAGCTTAGTGGTGGACTGTCGCATTCCTAGGATGAGGCCATCTTCCCTCCTAAAAGGCTCAGAACTGGTTGGGTCTTCTCTTTCTCTGGACCATGTGGACTGTTGGGGAAACATTGGTCCAAGCGACTCTCAGTGGATTTGGCTGAAAGGTGTGGAATGGAAGAGAAGGGGTAACTAGTGCTTTGAGCTGATAGCTTCCCCTGCCTCCTGCCAAGGAGTCGTGGTTATATTTACTTGAGGCAAAGTGATAGCCTCTCTTACAAGAGCATTTATCTAGAAATTGTGGTGTGATGGAGTTCTCATGTGAGCAGTTTCCCGATATTTCCAGAGACCAAAGTCTGTGTTAAGGGGCCTTAAGATGCCAGCACCCCTGGCTGTGATGGCTGGTCCGCTAGTCCGGCAAGATGTTTGGAGGTCTGTTTGATAACCACAGTGTGCTGGCCTCATCTTTGCCTCTAAGAATTCACGGGAGGATTGTTTAATGTTGGCCACAGAACTCGTTTGGCTAGTAGCTGTTGCGAGTCCTGGAGTCTCTGGGGGTGTGGGGAGTGGAGGACAACAAGGGGGAGGTCACTGCCTCGGAGGGGAGGAAAAAGCAGCCGGGACAGAGGTCTGCACACTGTTGCTCTAAAGGGTCAGATAGTAAGTAGTTGAGGTTTTGCTGGCCGTGGTCTCTGTCACATGTTATTCTTTTTTTTTTTTTAACAACTCTTTAAAGATGTAAACACTGTTCCTAGGACACGAGCCTTGTAAAAACTGGCTCAGGTTTGTCCTGTGGGCCTGGTGTGTCAACCTCTGAACTAGGTGATGAAATTATTGCTAAATGTGTTTACTTTGATGTTTTGGGGACACGAACCCAGAATAACCTTGGGAATTCTCAGTTGATTGTGATCCAGAGGAAAGATCTAAGCTCTGGCTTGGGACGTCAAAGTGACCCTGGTGTTGGTCACCTTAGGTTCATGGAACTCAAGGTAACCTTGGCTAATGTGACAGCAGCTGTGCAGTGGGGCAGGGATGGGAGAGTGGGACAGAGGTGTGGCCCTGGAATTAGGCTGGAATTGGCCAGGTTTAAGGAATACAGTGACTCAGCGAATTGACTTAAATCTCAGAAATACCTCTAATTTCCTGAACGTCTGTTGGGATGTCATTAGAAATCTGGCATGTACTGTCAGCTTGGCCAGTTTATAAAAATGAACGAGCAGGTTTGTACCTTGGATTCTGAGAACACCAAATTCCGATGCATGAATCCAGATTTGTCTTGTGGTTTTTCTCTGATGGCAGGAAGTTCTATCGAGCAGGCCTGGCGTGAAGGAAGTGTTAATGTAGCTCAAGGTAGTTTGAAAGCTAGGCGGGTCTGGTGGTTAAAGAGCGGGGCTGTGAGATAGGCGCGCTTGTCCAGATTCCTCCTGTGCCATTTATAGCTGTGTGACTCCGGGTGACTTTGTCCTCTAAGCTCCGCTCCCTCACCTCTCATAGCAGTGATGGTAACTCCCCTGTGGGGTTGTTGTGAGCATTCAGTGAGGACGGCGTGTGCACAGTGCTTGTTGTATTAGCTCAGTGTCCGGGCTGTGAGCAGTCAGTAAACGTTAGCAATGATTATGGTCATGTGAAAGTGGAAGAAGTGGAGGATCCCTGCCACTGAAACGTTGTCTTTTTAATTTAATTGCTAGGTGTGTGGGATGTAATGGGAGCAGTTAGGAATCAGAGAACGGGATCTGTGTCTCCCTCGCTTAGTTTCCTAACTGGTAAAATGGAAAGAATACATACTGACAGGTTGTGAGATAACATTGAGAAAGGGCTTTGAATTCTAAACAGCACTGGACAGAACTCAAGGTGAAGTCAGTCACCTGTTCATTTGTTCCATTTCTTGAACGTCTAAAAGTATTGGAACCGAGCCAGAAGGTGATTGGCGTGAGGCCAAAATGTTTGCCAGAGAGACATGATAGGATGCTCCCAAGTTCAGAACTTGGAGTGGTAACTTGTGGTTAAGAATGAGTAATATAGGGCTTCCCTGGTGGCGCAGTGCTTGAGAGTCCGCCTGCCGATGCAGGAGACGCGGGTTCGTGCCCCGTTTCGGGAAGATCCCACATGCCGCGGAGCGGCTGGGGCCGTGAGCCATGGCCACTGAGCCTGCGCGTCCGGAGCCTGTGCTCCGCAAATGGGAGAGGCCACAACAGTGAGAGGCCCGCATAACGCAAGAAAAAAAAAAAAAAAAAAAAAAAAAGAATGAGTAATATAAAATTGAAATAGTGAAATTTTAAAAAATAAGTGGCTGTATTAAGTAAAAGAAGCCAAGAAGGCTGCATACTCTGTGATTCCAACCATATGACATTCTGGGAAAAGCCAAACTATGGAGACAGTGAAAAGACCAGTGATTGCCAGGGGTTGGGGCTAGGTAGAGATGAATAATCTGAGCACAGAGGATTTTTAGAGCAATGAAAATATTCTGTGTGGTACCTTAGTGGTGGATACATGTCATTATACATTTGTCGAAACCCATAGAATGTACAACACCAAGCGTGATCCCCAATGTAAATAGTCTTAAAGAAAAAAAAAAAAAATGAGTGGCCAGAAAGGCTGGAGGAGTTAATCTATGTAGAAAATGTGACAAGATCTTGTAATACTAAAACTGTATTTCCTGTCAGAAGCGAAAGACAGATACTGTGTATTCTTACATAAATGTGGAATCCAGAAAATACGAACTTGTAGAAACAGAGAAAAGAATGGTGGTTACCCGGGATCAAGGGGTAGGAGAAGTTGGGAAATGTTGGGCAAAGGGTAGAAACTTACAGTTATAAAATGAATAAGTTCTGGGGATCTAATGTACAGTGTGGTGATTATAGTTAATAGTACTGTATTAGATACTTGAAAGTTGCCGAGAGGGTAGATCTTAAATGTTCCCACCACACACACACAAAAGGTAAATATTTGGCTAATACTCTGTGGGTGTCACGTTGCGATATGCAGGTGTGCAATATGTAGGTGTATCAGTCATTCTTTGTACTTTGCAGACTTGCTCAGTGTTACCTGTCAGTTAAATGTCAGTAAATCTGGGGGGAAATAAATAAAAACAAGAGTTATTATTTTTTTAAAACCTAGATTTCCTTTTCCCCTGCAATTCCATTTCTAGGAATTGATCCTGCAAATACGTTTGCATGTGCATTTTGTATGCTAAATCATGTAGGCACATTCATTACGTTATTTATAACAAAAAAAGGGTAGAAACATTGGTTGTCCAACCTCAGGAAAGCAGTTAACCAAATCAGGGAACATTCTTAACGGTTGAGAACTATGCACCTGCAGAGAGTAAGGGAGCTCCGTGTGCACTGCGGGAACACTCTCCCAAGACATGTTAGGCTACAAAACAAAACAAAAAGCAGTGTTCGTAGTGTGCCGTAATTACTGTTGCCTGGGTGCGAGGTGGGCCGGAGTGATTTCCTCGTGTGTGCGTAGAACGTCTCAGGAAGAATATGAAGCTGGTGATGCGGTTGCATCTGTGGACAAGAACTCTGGGTAGTGGGGGACAGGTAGGAGGCACGTGTACTCCGCCTAGTACACCCTCCGTGTCTTTTGAGATGCGTCTTTTGTCCGTGTATTTTCTTTTTCTTCTGTTTGAAGTCTACGGTATTGATTTTTTTTTTTAATTGAAGTATAGTTGATGTACAATGTTGGGTTAGTTTCTGCTGTGCAGCCGAGTGACTCAGTTATACATACACGTTCTCTTTCGTATTCTTTTCCACTATGGTTTATCCTAGGACATTGAATATAGTTCCCTGTGCTCTACAGCAGGACCCTGTAGTGCATCCAGTCTATATGTAATAGTTTGCCTCTGCTAACCCCACATATGCATACATTTTCTATTAGAAAAGTTTGAGCGGCGCAGGTCGTCGTTTCACCAGGGTTGAAAACTGTGAAACATCTGTGGTTCTCCTCCACGCGCGCGTCTGCTGCCTGCTGCTCTGCACAGTCCCTTTGACCTTGATGTGAGAGCGGCACGGGCTCTAGGCTGACCCTAAAACGCGCCAGGCCCCACCCCAGGGCATCATGATGTCTCTCCCCTTGGTTTGTGTTTGTGTGACGGATGGTGTTTCTGTCTCCACCTCCAGCTTCGGCAGCATGTGAGCAACTTCTTGCCAAGGACCGGGTCACCGCCGAGAAGGGGGCCTTAGGGAGAAAAGTATTCAGAGGAAACCAGCGCCAGACGCGTCTGGAATTCCACGCACCGCAGGCAGCATGAGGTGTGCCGTGCCAGCACCTGCGGCCTCCCGGCACAGCCTCTAGCTCTCCAGAGAGGAGGGTCCTGGGAGCAGTGCGCCCGGAGCCTCTCCAGGGGAAGCACGGGGCCAGGCGTGAACGCTCTATGATGGACGCAATTTTCAGCTTATGAAGGAGTTTTAAGGAAAACAGTTATTTAATTTCCACATATTCATGTTCGCTAGCCTTCTGTGGGAAGTGCCAGCAGTCACCCTCCTCCACTGGAGTTATCAGGATTTTTCTGGCACCGAGTTGAACTCTTCTTGGTACTTCTGGCAATGACACATCCTCAGGAGAGATTTATCTGCTAAATGCTCTTGGACAAGAGAAAAAGTAAAACTTCTGGAAGCAGCGTGAGAGTAGCAGAGCCCAGATCGCGCCCTCGTCGCCGCTCACTCACTCAGACACTCTGCCTGGCCTCGGATGCTGGCACTGAAGACTGACCCTGCCCCGTCCACCCCTGCAGCCCGTCTCTTCTGGGGAGGGCTGGCCGCCTCGGGGGCCCCCTTCTGCTCTCATCCTACTCCCAGGCTCTCTGTTCCGGCCGTCGAGTGACGTGAACTTGGGAATGGAGTTGGTGCCCCTCCCCAGGCCGGTGCTGTCGGAGAGGACCATCTGAGGCCGAGCTTTGTTCGTGGGGAGGAGGGCGCTGGCCTGGCCTGCATCCTCCACCATGTTCCTGTTGCTGCCTTTTGACAGCCTGATTGTCAGCCTCCTGGGCATCTCCCTGACCGTCGTCTTCACCCTCCTCCTGGTTTTCATCATAGCCCCCGCCATTTTCGGAGTCTCCTTTGGTATCCGAAAGCTCTACATGAAAACTTTGTTAAAGATCTTTGCGGTGAGTGTGCTGTTTACAAACGGTTGCTTCACAGAGGAGGGGAGAAGTGCCATTAGCAAAAAGAGTTGTTCTTGTCCGGTTGATTGTGAACTCGCTGCTGGATGTGGAGGGAGTTGGGAGAATGGGAAGGAAGTGGCATTTTGAGTAGAAAGAATAACTAAACGTGAGCTTGTGAAAGCCTTCAGCAGTCTTTCTTTTGAGCTAAGGGACTTGTGTGTTTGGTCTGTCTGAGCAAAGGCACCAATTCCATGACCCCACACCTTGCCTGTTTATTTCAAATGGAGGGACTTAGGATTAAAGAAAAAAATCACTGCCGGACAGTGATGTAACAGATATTGCAACTCAAAGCTGCTGCTGGCATATTCCCTGACTGATAAGTATGGGAGAGTCTTTTCTCTCTTTCAAATGTTTATCTTAAATACGTTCTTGCGCTTCAGACAAAAGGAAGTAACAGAAAAGGGCATTTGATGAATTTTTCTGTTTTCTGAAAGACAGAGGAGGAGAAGAGTGTATTTCTTAACACACGTCAGAACTTAAGTCGTTTATACCACTGAGCAGAACTGGTCACAGTGGGAAGGAAATGAGTGAGAAGTGCTATTTCCTGGAAGGTGATCTCTGCCACAAGCCTTCTAACTGTCTCTTCAGAGACGTGGTGATTTATTAGCAGGATCTGTTTTCAGTAGTCACCAGATCTTCAGGCTCATCTTTTCCGTGGCTGAGACCATAATAGGAAACACAGCACAGTTATATTTGTTCAGATAGTATCTTACGGTTCAGAATAGTCTCAGTCGTTTTCCTTTGGTTCCCTGTATGTAATTCTGCAGTGGCCCAGGGTATCTATCAGTGATAGACTTAACCAGTGAAGAAATAGTGACTCTGGAAGATGAAGTGAGCTGTATGAAATGCTACATTACAGCAGGAAATATTTTTAGGTATATTACTATTACTGAATCTTGAGTTTTGGTATTTTATATAAGAATATGACTTTTTTTCACATCAAAAAAATTGAGGTGAAGTTGACAGAACATGAAGGTAACCATTTAAAGGGAACGGTTCGCCGGCATTTGCGGTAGTTGCAGTATTGCGTGGTCACCACCCCTGTGTGGCTCCACAGCACTCTCACCTCTCCGGAAGGAGGCCCCATACTCATTAAGCACTTGCCCTCCTTCCCTCCCTCCCCTGGCTCTGACTGCCCTGAATCTGTGTTCTCTCTCTGGCTTGACCTATTCTGGATATTTCATTTTCATGGAATTATATAAAGTGTGCTCTTTTGTGACTGGCTCCTTTCATGTAGCATAACTTTGTAACATGTTTCAGTACTTTGGTTTTTATGGCCGAGTAATATTCCACTGTGTGTCTGTACCATAATCTGCTTATCCATTCATCTGTTGACGGGCCGTTTTCACCTTCTGGCTGCTGTCCGTAATGCTGCTGTGGTGCGCTTGTACTTAATTAAGTGCTTACGTTCAACAGTAAGATTTCTGAGCCCTATCTGTGGTCTCCGGGGTTGTCTTGCTACTCAGAGAGTGCTCTGAGACCAGCAGCTGAGTGTCACCCAAGACTGGTTAGAAATGCAGGTCACAGGCCCCCTCCAGACCCACTGAATTAGGATCAGCATATTCCAGCAGGTCACAGGCCCCCTCCAGACCCACTGAATCAGGATCAGCATATTCCAGCGAGCCTCAGGTGCACAGTAAAGTTTGAGAAGTAGTAATCTCGTCAGTCTTTGGTGTTTCTTTTAATTAATCAGGAAATGTAATTTTCTTAAACTTCAGTCCCCAAAAATCTTCAGTAGAACCCAGGGTTCCTGTGAACCACGTAACTACTCATGCCTGTTTGCCACTGAAAAATGTACATCAGTATAGAGTGAGTAGAACAGCTGATAAACTTCTAGGACACAACAGTGAGTGATGTCTAACTTTTATTCAAGTTTATAAGCAAGTGATTAATTCATAGACCTATGGAAGTACTTATTCTTAAAACATAAAAAATAGGAGTAATCAGACCAGAGTTCTTTGGTAGTAGCTAAATTTTTAAAATTTGGATCACTTTGGGTGGAACAAAAGACCTAGAATCCATGTACATTCCCTATTCCATTTTGAAAATGTCCCTGCAAATTAGTATTTTAAAATTCATAGCCAAGTAAATCCTTATTACTATTGACTGTGTTTTTCAGATGTACATTCTTGTGGCTTTTAATGTCGATAATATATATTTTTGGGTCAATCCATGGGACAGGTAATCTTTTTTTTTCCTTTTTAAATTAATTAATTAATTAATTTTTGGCTGCATTCGTTGCTGCGCGTGGGCTCCCTCCAGATGCTGTAAGCGGGGGCTCCTCTTTGCTGCAGTGCGCGGCTTCCCATTGCAGTGGCCTCCCCCGTGGTGGAGCACGGGCTGTAGGCGTGTGGGCCTCAGGAGTTGTGGCTCGCGGGCTCCAGAGCGCAGGCTCAGCAGTCGTGGCACATGGGCTCAGCCTCTTGGCAGCGTGTGGGATCTTCCCGGACCAGGGCTCAAACCCGTGTCCTCTGCATTGGCAGGTGGATTCTTAACCACTGCACCACCAGGGAAGCCCTTAGTTGCCACAGAGCAACTAAGCCCGTGCGCCACAACTACTGAGACTGCGCTCTAGAGCCCGCGAGCCACAACTACTGAGCCCGTGTGCCACAACTACTGAAGCCCACACACCTAGAGCTCCGCAACAAGAGAAGCCACCACAATGAGAAGCCCACGCACCGCAACGAAGAGTAGCCCCCACTCGCCACAACCAGAGAAAAGCCTGCGCGCAGCAACAAAGACCCAACACAGCCAAAAATAAAAAATAAATAAAATAAAATACACCTAAACTTGTGGGTGCTTTTTAATAAAGACGAGACCTTTATTTTGCCTTTTTTATTCTCTTCATTCTCTTCCTAAACTGGGGTGCTATATGTAATTTTGCAGTTGGAAGGAAGCTCAGAGATCATCTTAATTCTGTGGGTCTCTTCATAACTACACATCTGAATCATCTGGGGAGTGTTTAAAAAATGCTTGTGTGGGAGCACTAGAATCTCCCCAGAAATTCTGATTTAATTGGTTTGGGTGGGCATTTTTAAAAAGCTCCCCGAGCGATTCTAACATCTACCATCAAAAGGTGGAGTCTGATTGCCCTCCTCTTGAGTTGGGGACCTGCCTTGGTGTCTCGTTTCTAACATATAGAATGTGGTGGCCGTGACGCTGTGTGACGTGTGAGGTTAGGTTAGAAGTGGCAGTATAACTTCCGTCTGCCTCTGGATACTTGCCCCTGGAGCCCGGCTGCCACATTGTGAGGAAGCCTAGGCCCCGTATAGGTGTTCCAGCTTCCAGTCCCAGAGGAGCTGTGACAACCAGCATCATCTGACACCCAGCCGATGCCGGACCCTGTGCAGTTTGCAGATTCATGAGCAGAATAAATGGTGGTGGTATTTTAAGCCAGTGTTATGGGGTGGTTTGTTACACAGCAGTAGATGACCAGACGAATAATATAATAGTAAAGAATTTTAAACATTCATTCATGTCTCACAGCTGACAACACCTTAAAAATTTTTTTGTTACCTTTCAGTCTTGGCAGTATTTTATGGCTGTGTTAATGGCATGTACATTTAATTTTATGTCTACATTTTCTTCTGGGATCTTATAAGCCAGTTTTACAGTTTAGTAGGTAATCTTCATAAAGATGATTCAAGCTGGATGTCTGGTAGTCCGTGCAGTACACATACCTGTGCTTCTGGGGGACCTAGGTCGGCGCAGCTTGACAAATGCTTTCCCACGATCAGCTCATCTCCCCATATAAAGGAACCTTGGGGTACCTGCCAAGGGGGGGATGTGTGCGTGGGCGGGTCCTCCAGGTCTTTCCTCCTGGAAGACAACTCAGTGCAGGTCCTTTTAATGCTGAGTTGTGGGAGATGGTCATGTGCGGAGGGCAGCGTGTTACTTAAAGTACTTTAGTTGTCTTAATGTTTGTGCTTCACATTTACCCGCAGTACAGTGACGATGGTATTGTTTGGGGTAGAATTCCTAGGAGTGGACTTCCAACTGAGTTGAGAGTGATTTGGAAAAGGAGAGAAGAAAGCCTGGGTATAAAGGAGAAAGATGAAAGAAAAAAACAACCAGCGACTTGAGTTTTCTTGCCTGATGTGAAGGGGGTTGATCAGGTCAGGTCAGAGAAGATGGGCCAGCTGTAATGAGTGGCATTAAGCTCCACAGCGGAATGGGTCGGAAACCACTGATGGCTGTAAGGAGGTTGAAGAGACTGAACAGGTCGCGGGATCCGGGTGGGATAGGCGTGACTTTTCGGAGGGTTTTTTACCAGCTCTGAAACTTGACGGAAGTCCTCAGACCCTGCAATCTACATCCTCCTCTGGGGAGTGGGAGCAGTAAGGCCTCCTTCACATGGGTCCGTGCCCCCACCCCCCCACCCCCGTCCCAGCATCACCGGGAGTAGCTTAAAGGCCGAACTGAAGGAGATGAGAGTGGGATTATGGTGCTAGGAAGTGGTTTTAGGTTCAGGTCTGTCTTTCATACGGAGACCTTGATGAAGAGAAATACTGGGAGCTGGTGAATTAAATGCAGCCCTTACTGACTGCCTGCGAAGTGCAGGGCGCTTGGTCAGATTCCGCTGGGTTCTGCCTCCTGCCCCTCGAGGCAGTTATAGTTTACTAGGAAAGACAGACGTCTGCATACAGAACTAATTCAGAACGTGACGCCAGTTAAAATACACAGGCGGAGACGAACTGTGACTGCAGGAATTGGGTAGGTAGCGTTTCATGTAAGATTTGGCCTTTGAACTGGATCTTAAAAGAGAGAAAGCACTCTAGAAGTGCAGTGGGTAGAGGCGAGAAAGTGCGGTCTGGTTTAGAGTCAGTACCTAGTTCAGGAGAGAAGAGCCTTTGGGGGCCTGGAGGGGATGTTGCATGGTGAGACGGGAGCACGCGTCCACACGGCCTGGAGGGGGGAAAGCGGGGGAGAGAGCTGTAGGTGGGAGAAGCCGCGGGTGGACGAAGGGGGTGGCCTGACACTGGCAGCCAGGGAGGACCCTTCTCAGGCGGGGAAGCTTGGGGACCGTGGGAGGAAGGCTGGGCGGAGGGGAGCACGTTGGGGTCGGGTGTGTGCGGCTGCCTCTTGCTCTCAGGCCGGGTGTGAGGATGGGGGGACTCGCACGCGGTCATGACCAGGAGGTGATTGGAAACGTGAGGTTGACACCGCTGTGCAGTCAGGATTGTTGATTTGACAGTAGCTACTGAGAGATTCCCGCGGAAGCAGGGAGAGGAGATGTCGTCGCTGGCTGGGCGGTGAACGGTGACGGGTGCTGGGGTCTGGTTCTTTGGGTGTCTCTAGTGCGGTCGTGCGAAGCACGGTGGAGGCTGGCTGAGAAGAGGGGCGGTTCTCCGCTGAGATTAGTGCTGCAGGGACTGTCAGGCCTTCCGGTGCGCTCGGTTCCTAACCCGCAGTGCTCAACAGAGTGAGCACGCAGCAGAGATGCACCGTGGTGCCGCCCACACCTCTCGGGGCTGGGCCTCCGTTCACCTACGAGGGCTGTGTTGGGTTTACTGTTAGCTCGAGTGCAGCATTATCCTTGCCCCTAACAGTCTCTGTCCGGGAGATGCTGAAAAGGGAATAATTAAGTAATCGGGTCCTGAACATCCCGGATCAAGGGAACGGAGGGGGTTTGTAGGGAA